TTCGTCGGTACGAAGTTACGGAAAATCAATTAAAAAAACGGAGACGTAACAATATATATAGTGTACGATGGTTTCCCAGTGATATTTTTAAGTCATATCATACGAAAATATAGGCAAGTTGACCAGTATGTCTGTATATAGAACAGTATGAATAATTGCTTCATTTTCCTGTTGCTCGAGGTACGTGGCAGTTGAATAGACTGGTGATCCTTCTTAATTATGTTGCCTGGGGCACGTGGATTGTTTTTGACATAGTCCCTTGCCTTTATGTATTACGATCTGTTAAACGATGCTGTATTTTGCTTACCATGGATAGGATATCACTTGTTACAGGTTTCTTTCTGGTTAGTCCTGTTGGAGCCAGTTATTCATGAAGTTCCTGAAACAGCAAGATAACGAAGCAATTGCAGTCTCAGTCAAAATGTATAACATTTTCCTATTTAAAAGCGGAAGAATGTCCCTCAGATGATTTGACAATTTCACACCTTTGGCATGCAGGATTATATACACATCCCACACTCAACACGTTTTCACACTTGGAATATCTAAACTATATCACAGGTACTCGTTGCTCTAAGCATGTCCTTGTTAATCTTTCATTTAAGCTTTGGATCATACTTAGCAAGTCATTCCACATCCAGCCCATGGGGGCAATACCAAAAAAAAATCAATGTCTATTTATAACCATAAACTCCTGAAAGAGATCTATACTGTTAAGTAGCTGTTCCAACAAAATATGTTAGTACATGCACTATGCTCTACACCAGTAGTTTCCAGCCTTTTTATACCACAGACTTCTAGTTAGACATTTGAGCCAGTGCTGTACTCTTGATGCATGTCATTTACTAAAAATATTAAAAGTGCTTTTTATTAATTAACATAACAAAATAAATAATTTAAGGGTGTGTCAACAACCCATGAATAATGAATGCTGGATAATGGAATATTTAGGTAACTCACCATAACATGGGGTTTATTAATTTTTTAATGTTTTAAATATATTAAACAAGATCCAAATAATAGGGTTATGCTTTTAAAATATCCACAAGTCAGTAATGGGCGTAGTGTTCTGAAAATAGTGTTACAACATTTGCAACTAATCTGATTTTTAAATATCTTAAAACAATTTTCCAATGTATGATTGTGTTCTTACAGAAAGTGTTTTTAAAATAGTGTTACAACATTTTCAACTAATCTGATATTTAAATATCTTAAAACATTTTTTTAACGTATGGCTGTGTTCTTACAGTCCTCCACAAGTTAATGTGTGGTGTAGTGTTTAGTCAGGTTAAAAAATTCTAATTAGAAATACCACAAGTCAGTTAGTAGTACAGCATTTTTACAGACATATTAAGACATTTTATGATTTAGTCAAAAGGGCTTTAAATATTAAACAATATGAAATACTAGGGCTATGCTCTTAAAATCATCTTCACACCAGCCAGCAGTGCAAGTTTTACAATATTGTACGGACATAGTGACACTGTTAAGTTTGTTAAAAAATTATTTCTAATTATGCCCCTTAAGTTCTCTATTGCAGTATGGGAATTTTTTGCATGTACTGATTATCGTAGTATGTCACACAAAATTATATAATATTAAACATTTTTTAAAACGTAATTCCACTGAAATACCCCCCCCCCAAGCAATGTAACAAACAGCAGTCACAAGAACAAGAAGTCTTATTTACTTTTATTGAAAGATAAAAAGGAAGAACTTGATAAACCAATCTTTACATAGTACAATAAAATTTCATAATTCTGGTTTACCTTAATTAGTTTTTCGCAACTGTATATCACACACACTGCAGTAAAATTGAATTTTATACATTGATTGAAATGAAAGGAAGGAATTTTCAAAGATGCTGGATGGTTCATAGATTTCAGAGATCAAATTACAAGTATTTTACAAAATACGAGCTATACGACTTATTCTCTTATCTCTCACAGTTTGGTCATTTACCACTTCAAACTTTATAAAACTTTCATTTATGTGATGCATATAAGTTTTCTTATCTGGAATTTTCCAAAAAATCTAATTTTTTATAAAATAAATATATCTCATTATACACATTAATAGAATAACATAATTTTCTGTATAACTTTCACAGAAGCACAATGAGCATTTAAACAGTGCTATTAGGAAATACACTATCATATTTGTTTTCTATTTGTTGCTGTCTCGACTCTAGTTTCTTCTTAATCTTCCACAACTGTGGCTTTGACGTCTGTAAATGGTAGAAATAAAACTGTTAGCACTGAGATAGCAAAAATAAACCTAACCTAACTTACACTTAGTAACAGCTAGTTATATAACTCTCAATACCCAGTGTTTAAGTGAACCATTGGTCTACGAGTTGTTTTATCTACTGACATTTACTTTTACATAAATTGTATCACTATTTTGGAACCAGCCCTGACTGAACAATGCTGGAACAAAGAGTTATGTTTCAAATTTACTAGAAAGTAAAACAATATTGAACTAGATCTAACCTACAATAATACAGGTAAGGCTCATTCCTGTACATGTTCTATTATTCAGATATAAAGTATTGCTACGTATCTGCTCGTTTGTTAATTTACGGTATAAATTCTTTCCGAGGAACTTCAGTGATCCAAGTCCTTTCTTAATTAAAACTAGTTTATTCTTTCTTGACACAACTTTTTAGTACACAGAATTTCCACAGTCACTTTAAACTTAACAACCTTTATAACACACGGTATAAATCACAGTGATTCACACACTTTATTTACAGTGCCTACTGTACGCTTTACTCAATTATCTATCTCTTCAATTGCGCTGGTTTTTCTCGCCAGGCTTATATACTAAAAAGAGGGTGCCTCGAACAAACTAGAGTTGCTAGGAAAATTCATGATCCTTCGAGAAACTCCAGCATGCATGCTCCCAGCGTCACGTGACTTCTGCTGTTGTAACAGTATTATAGCAAATCTATCTCAATATAAAAACCATCAAATAGTTTCAGGTTCAAAAGCAAAACCACTTAGAACACAGTAGGTGAGAAAAAAAAATCACAGAGAGAGCAGTAATCAGTTACCTGCTTATCACAGTTACTCTGAAGATGGCTAAAATCCACTAACGGAGTCAGCGAGGGCCGGCCATGTGCACATTGAAATGGAAGCTTACAATATGCAAGAGACTTGATTAAGTGTGTGCATTCAGTACTGTCAAGTTCATCTCCAAATTTCACAGCACCTAATGAAAAAGGTTTTTCTCTGGAATTGGGAAAGCCTTTCATAGCTAATTGACTTCAAATGTATCACTATGTTTAGACCAGTGGTTGGCAACCTATGACCTGCGGGTCACCTTGCAATAATTTGGCTGACCC